CAAGGGGGGGGGGCGGTCCGAATTTCTACCCTGAAAAGTTCAACACTCCGTTCAGGTCGTGTTTAACAAATTATTACCAATCTGAAATTTGACGCTTTTTGGATGCAGGTGTTGGTGACTGAGTTGAAGTGCAGATATGTGGATGATCACTTCGAATAATCATGGCCACAACCACGCTCGCCAACCGCAGCTGTAGATTTTCTTTTTCGTCAATCAACGTTTGACTATGAGAAAGGCTTTCTATCGAGAGACATTATAATTTGCATGGGTGACAATATGATAAATTGTAATCAGCCCTGCGCAGTGTGGTTCCAGGTGCTGCAAAATACGCTAATGTTAAATAGCGAAGCAGAGCATCTCCCCATCTGTATTTATATATGCCACGAGTGTCCTCTATGTATTGTACCCATCTTCGTACATCGGGACTCAAAAAGAAACTGATTTTCATTATCTCGAAATTATTGTAGTAACCTAAAATGGCATCATCTTTGAAAGAATTTTTGATCATCTTTGGATCTCTTTCTATCAAGCCAGTCTGATTTTGGTAATGTAGCGCAAAATCTTTTAATTTCATAGTACCAGGTAATGCTACTTCTGTGTCTATCCAATCTGTATTTGCAAAATAAACTGCTTTCTTTCGTTCCATTTCTTCAAAACAATTGAACCATTTTCCCTGTAGACGAGCATCATCATCTAGCCGCATCACATATTTATAGTTTCGGATGACAGACAGCTCAAAAATGAACTTGAACCAGAACCGGATCATTTGATGATAATTCCATTTGCCTCTCTTAAACGACGTTGGCTCTTCAAGATATGGATTAAAGCCATGTGGATAAGATGCGAAAATACGATCGATATTACATAATAATATACGACGGGGTGTACAACCAAAGATTGCCTCTCTGGCGCTTTTGAGTGGGTAATTAGAATGAAAAATAACAAGATCTGAAGTGTAGTTGTCGGCAAAGTTAGTGTCCACATTATTAATTATCGTGCTCAGGCTAGCGAAATCATCCAATACAAGGAAGGCAATAGCACTTCCACCATAATTCACTTCGTTCCGATGGTGATTTTTTAACAATATTTGACACTGGACCTCTTCCAAATGTATTTTTTCTTTTTGAAGTGGAATGTTCCTCCGATTGGCGTAGCATCGTATCAGGAGAGGCACTAGTGACCAGTAGAGGATACATAAAATTAACAAACCCAAAATCAGCCACTGCAGTTTTTTTGGTAGCGGCACACTAAATATTATATGTGATAAACCTGGCGTTTGTTTGTTGACTTTCATTATGTTCTAATGTAAGGCTATTCGGATTATGCGTGTACTAGTTGAAGATTGAAAGATCAATGTCCATGGCGAAGAACTTTGGAAGATTTTTATTGAAATATAGCTTCATCCTTTATGGAGCTCATTTGAGTAGACATGATTTTTTTTTATCAGTTCCGATGAACGAATATATTTAATTATATCCGCAATTTATTTTCGAGTGAATCATCTTCAATTATATTTCATACGACAGAAGCAGAACTATTCGAAGAATTTTAAAAACTCTGAAAGATATACAAAATTCATTTTTTTCTGGACGAGATACTTTTTATCTTTACTATTTTCAAGCTCATGGGAAAAATACCAATTTAAAAGCAGGAATGCGTCGTTTCAGCTTAGTGATTACGGACATCAACAGAGACATGTTGACGGTTTACACTGATACGATTGTATTGAGACTAACTAAAATGACACCGATTCTGTCAAATTAAACACATACGATAGTTTTATTTGAAATCCTCACAGAAAACAAGTTAAGTGAGTGCACGGATCTTCATTAAACATTCCCTCGATTGAAAGACTAGCACTTAAATACTAAAATATACCTGTGCCTATCTGGCTGAATGTTCGCCTGGCCAACAGTGAGCTTGGTACGAAGTGTCAATTTTTGTGCTACAAATGATCTTTTCAATGGCACGAAAGATCTACTTTTGTGGTCCGAATGACCATTTTTGTGGTTCAAAGCCCCTTTTTATGGCACAAGCTATAGGCGAATTCTGTGGAAGGACGCGCGCAATAGTCATGCCGAGTGACGGATTCGATGAACAAGGCAAGCTGAGGACCCACACGTCAATGTGAGCTCATCATCGCAAAATTTCTGCACCACTTGTTTTAATATTTAAACCAGGCTCACCATAGCCCGCTGTAAGCCTTTCGAGGCCCCCTAATTAGATTTTTCCAGCATGTATCATATTGGCAACTGGTGCTGATCTGTCCTCACCCCTACGTTTAAAATGGTTGTTCGACCACCTCCCTTCCCGCCGTTCAGCTCGACTTTCGTGCTTTTGTTTGGTACTTTTCAATCGAAATTTTATCTTCCTCTTGTGCATACTCGATTTACACATAATCGTCTCGCCTCCCTTCTCGTTCCTGTTACATCTATCTGCCCGATCCTCTGAAAATTGTAGGATATTTTTGTGGCACTAAAAAAAACAGTTTTTCCAATCAAAGTATTTAGACGCTTCAGCCCTCTTGGTTTAGGGTTAAATGAATCGATCCTCGATTTACGCTTCTTGTATGATGCAAAGTATAGGGACGGTTATCCTGGTAAAATTTTCTCTATTGATTTAGCACGAATATTTTTGGAGCTTTTTAATGAAGCTTGTTAGTACAGCCCCTTTGGGGCTAAAATGTGGAACCGAAATGTATCCCTTATATTTCCGAAGTTAATGTAAAACTGCTAAATTGAAAAATCTATTTAGTGAAGCACGACCTGAAAGGAGTGTTGAAGTGTTTAGGGTAGAAAGGACTAGGGGTGGCACTTTAACTTTACTTTAAAAATTAAAGTTGAAGGAATACTTTAAACTTTAAATGTTAAAGTTAAAGTAAAATACTTTAAACTTTAAACTTTAATTAAAGAAAACACTTTGATACTTTAACTTTAAAAAAACCAGAGTTAAAGTGACAAATAATTTTTAGCGCTTCGTAATCAATTCCCTAATGGTTTAACTGCAACTTTAAACTTTAAAATTAAAGTTAAAGTACTTCAATTTTGATATTAAAGTATCAAATTTTAGTGTTCTACTTTAATTAAAGTTTAAAGTTTAAAGTATTTTTACTTTAAACTTTAATACTTTTTTAAAAGTGTTTCAAAGTTAAAGTGCCACCCCTAGAAAGGACCCTGTCGGATTTGGTGACCACATTTGAATTCACAAACTCTTTATATCATTTTGTAGAGTGGTGCAATGCGCATCGAATGGTATACAGGAAGTTGTGTTTTTGTGAAGTTTTGGGTTAATTGTAGGGAATTGAGTGTTGATAGGGTATTACTCAAAATTGCGACTAGTGACTCATCCGAATGGACCCTATCCTAAGTTAAAGAAGTTTATGAATAGATATTAAGCTTACGCAGTTTGTAGGGATTTTTACGGGCTACAAGTTCATATATTTTACATCTTTGATAGCGAAAAACACGAGTTTTTATTTTGAGCACATCATATGTGGCGAATGAAAGGTTTCAGTGTATCGATCCGTATCATCTGTAAAAGATGTGACCACACGTCAAACTTTGTCAGAAATTGCACGAAAAACCGATGTACAAAATGCACTAATTATAAGCTTTTTAAAATGGTGGCAACGCTTCTAAAACTGCGACGCATTGACGAGTCCTGGCAAGATTTTTAGTCAAATTTTTCTTTTTTTTCTATGATTTCGCAACTTTTATAATTTTTTTTCTGGTTCAATCACGCTCCCTATTTGAATCTAACACGACAATGGAGTTCAGCAATCAAATCTGCATGAATTAAAAAAAAATTCTAATACAATACTACGTTATCATATTTTATGTTTCTCTATTATGACAAATTCTTATAGTATACATATAAGCTCAAAGAAAAATAACTTTTTGAAAATTTAATATCATATATAGATTGTAGCCCTATTCTTAACTATATAATTGACTATTAACAGTGCAGTCTATCTCTATTTTCTTTTGTTTATTTTTTTTTAAAAACCAAGTTTAATGTCGTTGAACATTATACAGTGCGGTGCATAATTATAAGACCACTTGTTCTCAAATTAAACTAAGTGCAATGAGCCATGTTTTTAGTGATTTCACATAGATGAGACATAAGAATAACGCTATAAAATTTTCAAGCGAGAGTCTTTTTACTTTCGAATATATCTAGAATTACCTCCATTTTGGTGGTACATAAATATAAGACCACATGAAAAGAAAAGTACAAAGACACCGAAGAAAAAAATATCAATATTTAGTCTTGGCTCCATTTAGCTTAGTAACTTCAAAGATTCTTTCAGGCATCGATTCGACCAAAGCACGGAGTTGTTCGATGCTAATTTCTTCCCAAGATTTTGTAAGGGTAGTTTTTAACTGTTCTTTTGTTCTAAATTGTTTACCTCCTGCATAGACCTTCCTTGCTAGTATTCCCCAAAGATTTTCAATTGGGTTTAAATCAGGCGGCAACGATGGCCAAAGTAAAACATTGATTTTCTTCGATTTAAACCAGGCAAGATTAACTTTTGCTCGATGAATTGGTGCATTATCCTGCTGAAAGATCCAATCAGACCCATCCATACAACTATCGATATCAATCAGATGCTTTTTCAACACCTCTCGATATCCTTTTTCGTTCATTCGACCGTCCACAAAACATATTGAACTTTTACCACCCCAACTAAACGACGCCCAAATCATAACGCTACCGCCACCTAGAGGACTAGTTGAAAAAATCTGTTCCTCTTTATGGAGATCATGCCAGTAGCAAGAAACACCATCAGGACCATCTAAATTAATTTTTTTTCATCAGACCAAACAACTTTGTGCCATTCATTGTTCCAGGTCATATGATCTTTAACCCAACTTAATCGTAAATCTTTATGAGTTGTTGTTAAAGCAGGAGTGTTTTTTTTCATCTTTTTCAAGATGTTTGACCTTTTTATAACTCGATTGATTGTCCATCGTGACATTTTTAAGCATAAATCGTTAACAATATTGGCACAAGATATTGTTTTGTTGCTGGCGGTTCTAATAGTATGACGTTTGGTGCGTTCATCGACCTTTTTTTTGACCAGTTCGTTTTATGGAGGCATATTTAAGTGGATCTTTTAAAAAATTTGCTACCATTGTCTTCGATTGATTGATTTTCCTGGCAATTTTTCGATGGGATATATTTTTCTTGTGTAATGCTAAAATCAACTTTCTTTCCCTTTCTGTTAGTTGTATTTCACTGGGCATGCAATAGTTTAAATCTCAATGTTATCCTGTGTGTCAATTTTATTCAAAGTCACTGATGATTCACTTAGTATTAAAAACCAATCATGTGGCCTTATATTTATGCACCACCAAAATGGAGGTAATTCTGAATATATACGAAAATAAAAAGACTCTCGCTTGAAAATTTTAAAGCGCTATTCTTATGTCTCATCTATGTGAAATCACTAAAAATATGACTCATTTCACTTAGTTTAATTTGAGAACAAGTGGTCTTATAATTATGCACCGCACTGTAGCTATTTCTTTTTTTTCTATTTAGATTCGTCGAAATTATACATGGGAAAGAGCTATGAACATCGATTTCTGACATATGGGACAACCCAGTCAGACAACCGCCTTGAAAAAACGCGTTACAGCGAATACATATTTAGACGCTTTCATGTTGTAAGACGTTAAAACGTCTTAAAATTTTGTAAAA